ATATATATATATATATATATATATATATATATATATATATATCAAATGATGCCCCCGAGGCTCACAAATGGCGCCAGCCAAGCGGCAAACACTGTGCAACAAAATTGCGCATTCAATTTGACTGCGACAACAATCAAAAATGCATCGACTCATTTCGGCTTACAACAAAATAATGACAATCAAATTATTCACATTTGTAGAGAGCAAAGACAAAGTATTTATTTATTGCATAGCTCCATTCACAATTCTGGCAATTCTGGCAGCAATCCGATCAGAATTGCAAATTGTGAAACATTTCTATGGATATTTATTTTGAATTTCCCAGAATGTCTTGGGGAAATACCTTGATTATTTCTATAGAGGACAGACAAATCCATTTACATTTTTCTTTAAGACTCAATTATTTTTGACTTAAACTTTGATCTTTTTCAGATCTATTTTTTTTAGTAGAGCGCTTTTAGCCTTGAAGATGATTTCTATGGACTCTTCAAGAGAGAGTATGAATTTATTAATTTTATTTAATTTTATTTTAGCTTTAGGTTGAAAAAATTTTTGTCTTGCTTAGACAAAGTCCAAAGAGCATTCCAGAAACTGTTTTTATCAAAATATTTTACGAAAATTTTGAGTTTCAACTGGAAACAATTTTTGCATTGAAAAGACGTATACAAGGAATACGAATAGGAATCACAAATCCAGTCAGGATAAGTCAGGTAAGAATTTAAGGCGAGTTTAGATGAGAGAATATGAATTTGATTTTGAGGTTTAAGTAAAAACAATTTTTGTCTTGCTTAAACAAAATCCAAATGTGGCAAAAATATAAGATATTTCCAAAATATTTTATGATGTTCTTGAGTTTCAATTGGTTGAACGTCCAGTCAAGATTCCGAAGTCAAGCCGAACTGACTTTACTCAGGCAACATGAATCGCATTCTCGATTCACAACCAAATCATTCCAAATATCTTCGCCTTGCAGCTCCAACTAGACTATTTCACATATAGATATACATATATATATGTATATATTATATAGATATATTTCAATGGGTGCTTTTAGCTGTTGGCATTGCTGCAGCTAAATGGAATTTCATCTCAGCTCATCTTGAGGATCTTAGATTGAGTTCATAATTTCACTCGAATAGCTCCCGAATCGTAGTAAATAAATGCTGAGAGAGCTGAGCGTAGGAGGGGGACAGCAGGAGGAGGCAGCTAAGAGGATTGTTGTTATTGAATGCAGCATTATTGAAGCATTTCGCCGCTTCAATTGATTAAATAATTCAATTCAATTCCAAAAATAATAATAATAAAAAACAAAAAAAACAAAAAAACAACGGAAAAGTGAAACTAATTCAAGCAGATGGCGGAGCACTTGTGTTCGCATTTTGCAAATGCAATTAATAAAATCGAATTAAATGAGCGCAAAATGGCGGACAATAAATGCAAATTAAATTCCAATTTCGTTTTTAAGCACAAATTAAAATAACTAAAAAAAAAAAAAACAAATGACACAAAAAAATACGAAATTGAAATTAAATTTAAATTAGGCATAATATAAATGGGGAGGGGCAGGGCGAGAGATAAAAAAAGGGAGAGAGAGAGAGACGAGAGTGCGTGTAATTATGCCAATTTACACTGAGAGACAATTGAGGGTAATTGTTTAAATACATATGCGGGGCTAGTATGATGTCAAATAACACACACACACACACTGAGTCACACCTATACACACACACACACACACACACACACACACTGGCTTTGCATTAAAAGCACATTTGTGCGTAGCTAAAATGTTCGATTCAAAGATATAAACAGCTTAAGAGCGAGCGAGCAAGAGGATATATGTCAGAGAGAGAGAGAGAGAGAGAGAGCGAGAGAGAGTGAGAATATATACATATATTTTGTATTACATATGACATATCTATATAGTATATATAGAAGCTACAGCTAAAGCTAAACATTGATAGGCAAATATGGTATGAAATGAGTGGGAAAAGCAACGCAACGCAACGTAACGGAATGGAACACAAGAATACAATACGAACGCAAACAGAATGGAATGAAACGCAACTGAAACGAAACGCCAAAGAAACAGTGAACAACTAACTACGTTAAAGTGTTCGAAACAAACAAAACAGAAAGAGAAAGAGAGAGAAAGAGAAAGAGAGAGATGGAGATATATAACTATAACTATATATATATGTTGATAGATAGAGAGCGTAACTAATTATACAAGTACAAGTAGCTATATATACATATACACATATCGATAGAGAGAGATAGAGATAGAGATAAAGATAGAGAGAGAGACAGGATGGATAGATAGTTAAACAGTTAGTTAGAGCGTGAATTAGACTACATACTACGACACTCATAGCGAGCGATACCTGTTCCGGTGCCAGCTACGTTTGCGTTGCGTCCATTGTAGCGATAATTGTTATTGATGGCATTCGTTTTGTATGCAGCGCCGCCGACGCCGACGCCGACACCGCCGCCGCTGCCGCTGCCGCTGCCGCCATCGCTCAATCCCAAGCCGCTCATGTTCATGTTCATGTTCATGCCTACGCCCACGCCCACGCCCACGCCCATGCTCATATTCATACCCATGCCCATGCCCATGCCCATGTTGCCGCCAGCGGCAGCAGCAGTAGCAGCAGCAGCTGTTGCTGCTCCGCCATTGCGCAAATTGTTGCGCAAGTTGTTGCTGCTGTTACTGTTGTTGCTGTTGCTGCTGTTGATGTTGTTGTTGTTGTTGTTGTTGTTGCTGCCAATGCCGTTGCCGTTGCCGTTGATATTGCCATTGCCATTGCCATTGCCGCTGGCATGCCCATTGAGCAGCGCTCCACCATGATGATGCTCCACAGCGGCCAGGCCATTCTGCTGCTGCTGCTGTTGCTGCTGCTGCTCCCCATTCAGCTGCATGCCACGCATATAGGCATGTGGATGCGCATGATAGCCACCGCCCACAGTGGTGCCATTCTCCACCTGGCCGCCATAGTGGTTGTGCTTGCCATTAAGCAGTTGCTGCTGCTGCTGCTGCTGTTGCTGCTGCTGCTGTTGCTGGTGGCCATTGATCAGCGCATAGTGCGGCTGATGGGCATGGAAATGTTGCTGCTGCTGCTTGTGCAGCTGTTGACGATGTTGCAGTGTTGCTGCGGCCGGCACCTGTTGCTGGCTCTGCGAGGCCAGCGAGGACAGCGACGAGCTGGACGCCGGCTGCGACGTGGCCGTCGAGCTGGCTGAGGAGCTCGTCGAGTGTGTGCCGCCCAGCGGAGGAGGCGGCGATATATTGCCCAACTGCTGCTGTTGCTGCTGCTGTTGCTGCTGTTGCTGTTGCTGGTGTTGCTGTTGCTGCTGGTGTTGCTGATGTTGATAGTAGGCAGCGGTCATGTGATGATGGCTGTGATTGTGTGGCTGATGTTGCTGATAATAGTGTTGCTGCTGCTGCTGCTGCTGTTGCTGTTGCTGCTGCTGTTGTATTGAGACGTTGCTCACGTGATTTTGATGCGACTCGGGCAGAAATTGCGGATAGACGTGATGCGACCATTGCGGGAACAAGGGACGCGCGCTGGCGGCTTCTATAGTGTTGTCGTTGGGTTGGCGGGGTTGGGTTGGCAGGGTCATCGAACACATATATATATACACATGTATATATACATAAGCACACACACACACACATATAGAGAGAGACAGAGCAAAATGGGTTGCGTTGGATTGTTGGTGGGAGCATGGGAATATTTTTATTATATTTTATTTTTATTTTTTGTTTTTTTTTTTTTTTGTGGCGTGGCGAGCATTTTGTTTAACGTTTAATTTGGTATTAGATTACAAAGTTTTTATTTTTTGTATTTGTTTTTTGTTTTTTTTTTGGTAGTTTATTTTTGTACAATAAATCCGAAAAAGCAGCGTGAAATGAAATTATTAGAAAACGGAACAATGAAAATAACCACAGAAAGAACTGAATAATATCTCCAACAATGGGCTTGATGAGTGTACTTAGGGCTAATGATTAGGTGGTACGTCTTGAGAGCGGGACGGTTGGTGGGTCAACTTGGTGTTGCTGGGAGGGGGTGGCGGGTGTGCGCCATTTGTAAGATATATACACACACACACGCGCACGCAGGCACACACTCACACACACACACGCACGCACACGCACGCACACGCATATAGACCGCTTGCATTGGAATGATACTAACATGTGGTGGTGGGTGGTGCTGGTGGTGCTGGTGGTGGTAGTGTGGTGGTGTTTGCCGTTAGTGGCGGTGGTTAGTGGTGCGCTTTAAAGATTGCTAGTGGTCAGTGGCAGTGATGTAACTACTACCAGACGTATTAACAGACGTAAAGACTCGACTCAACGAAATGGAAAAGCCAAAACTATAAACGAATAACGAATAATCAAATGGAACGCAGAAATGAAACAAAAACTATGCAAATTTTATATGACGGAAGATAGAGACAGAGAGAGAGATAGATAGAGAGAGAGACAGAGTTGGAGAGAGAAATATTTATATATAGAGCTAGGCTAGAGAGAAAAGAGAACCAATAAACGATTGTGTAGCTTTTGGTGCAGCAAACGTAAAGCGAAACGAAAACGAAACGAAACGAAATGAAATGAAACGCAATAGAGACGTAGAGACAGAGACAAAGACAAAGACAAGCGACAAAGGCAAATAAAACGCATGAGAAATGCGAAACGAATCGAACACAAAATTTGAAAACTCGAAAATCGAAACCCCAAACTGAAATTGGAGAAGCCCTCCCGAGGTTAAGAATAGACAAGTATATCATATCATTGAGAGACTTAAACGTACCGTCAGGTACGAGAGTGTTTTCGTATTATTCATGGGTATGGGTCGAGAGCTCTTAACGTTTAACACTTACCGCTGCCCGCGCTGCGCTGCAGCACCGGGGATTGACGTTGAATCTGAGGCTCTGCGGGTGGCTCCAAAATGTCCCGATATTTGGATACCATCAGCACCGAAATGAAATAAACGATGGCCAGCGATAGGAATTGCGCTTGTTTCGTCTCCTCCTGTGGGTGAGATGTGGGGAAGAGAGCGAGAGAGAGAGAGATTATGTATGAGGTAGAGGCTAAACAAGGGAAAATGAGGGTAATGCTGATATTTGCAGCCGAGTGGAACGATGGGAATTGGCACTTACCACATCGCGATAGATGACGGCCCTTAGGCGATTGACGTCCATGTCCTGGAGCAACTTCTCAGGATCCTTGACGGGGGATAATTGACCGGTGATTGACTCCACAATGTTCTGCAAGTATTGGCATAGGAAAACAAAGCGGAAACAGTGTTGTGAAATGCTGCAGTGTACTATAGAGTACTGCAAGCGAAACGGTGCTCAGCTTACCTTTGGCGATGCCTGAGCGCCGCGTATGAGCGCCTGCAGGTGCGCCGCGCCGGGCACATCGCGCGCCAGTGCGCCCACGTTGTAGCGCGTGCGCTCCTTGCACTCGAGGCAGTTGCGCACGGCGCAGGTGCAGACGAGGCGCAGGCACTGGCGCAGGATGCCGCCGCTGGACATGTTCTTCTCGGCCTCCAGCTCGCCAAAGTTCAGCGAGGTGGCAAAGATCAGGACGTCGGCCATGTTGACCAGGCGCTGCAAGAAGGACACGGCCACCTCCAGTGGCATGCCCTGTGTCGGCTCCAGCACATCCAGCTCGGACTGAAAGAGTGTCAGGTGTTAGCCGGAATGAAGGAATGTGGATGAGGGTGGGCACTGAGGCACTTACATTGGGCGATGTGGCGCTGGCCAGCAGCGGCAGGAGTCCGCCGCAGGCAATGATCAGATTATCAGCCAGCTGGGAGATCAGATGCACCGTGTTGACCACAAAGATGGCGTTCTCGCTCGAGTTGACAAAGTCGAGGACGCTCTTGGTGGAGTGACTGCGCCACACCTGGATGTCGGTCTCCAGGGAGAAGAGCACATCGCTCAGCAGGCGCTGGTGTATGTAGGACCACTTGAACTCCGGTATGCGGAACGGCGGACGGGTCGGTCCCGGACTGAACATGGGCCGAGTCGAGCCGGACTTGGACCGTTGCTGCTTGCCACCCTCCACGCCGGCTGTGCCGCCCGCAGCTGCAACATGCGAAATACATTCGATCTGCTCTGGCCGGAGCATCGAGCCACTCCCCAACTTACCATAATGATTGCCCTCCATCGGAGCGGCGCCCTCTGCACTGACTGCAGACGCCGCTGCTGCCGGCTGCGACTGCTGTACGGCGTAGTCGTCGTCGTCGGCGTTGGTTGTGTCCTGGGCATCGTCTTCGATGTCGGCCTCGGCTTCCGCATCCGCATCGGCATCCGCATCCGCATCGGCATCGGCGTCGGCATCCGCATCGGCTTCGGCTCCGGGCAGCTCCTCGAGGCCCTTGTGTGTATCCGCCTCGATCTTGGGCGTGGTTTGCGTCGTAGAGTCCACCTCGTTGGGCTTGGAGCGCAACGCAATCGGTGCCGACTCCTCGGACTTGGCCAGCGGCTCAATGTGCGCCGGCTGCTCCTCGGGCGTTGGTGAGGTCTGTGTGGTCTGCTCGGAGGCCACGGCCTTGACGGTCTCATCCACTAGAGTGTCCAGCACAGCATCGACAATGGCCGGCACTTGATCCTCCACGGATGCCAGGGGCTGTGCTTGTGCCTCGGCCAGATCGAGCGCCGCTTCGACCACCTCATGAACTATTTCCTCAGCGGCGGCGGCGGCTAAGCTTGCCTCCTGCTCCTCTTCGACATCTTTCTCTGTCTCTGTTGCTGGCGCTGTCTCTGTCTCTGTCTCTGACTTTGTCTCTGTCTCTTTCTCTGTCGCGGGCCCGGACTTGCTCTCGGCCTCTGCGGCTGCCTGCTTTGTGGTTTCCTTCTGCACCTCATTGTTGTTGGTTTCAGTTTCAGCTACTGTCTGTGCCTCTGCCTCTGCCTCTGTCTCGGTCTCGGTCTGGGTTTTGGTTTTGGTTTCGCTTTCGATATCGGTGCCGGTTGTGGTTTCAGCTGCGACTGCGACTGCGGCTGCGGCTTTGGTTTCCGCCTCGGCTGCATCGATTACCTTGTCGATGAGCTGCTCAACAATGTCGCGCACCGCTGTGGCCACCACATCCTCCGTCGTGTCAGCCAGCTCGGGCTCTGCGGTCACCAGGCCCGCCTTTGCCGTCGACTCCGTTAGCTCCTCGCTGCTCAGCATTGAGCTCAGCTCCTGCTCGACACTGGCTGCTGCTGGCATTTGGCTGGAGCTGAAGTTGGAGCTGGCGCTGGCGCTGGCGCTGGCGCTGGCACTGGAGCTGGGGCTGGAGCTGTTGCTGAGCTCCAGTTTCTCGTTGTTGTTCAGCTTGTTGGCCGCATCTTCAGTCTTTTGATTGGTGGTTGCTGCTGTGTTCAACGACTCCTGCTCCTGCTCCTGCTGCTGCTGCTGCTGCTCGGAGCCCTCTGGGCCATCTCTCTTCTCCAGCTGCGCTGTTGTGGCTGTTGTTGTTGACTCGTCGCTGTTTATTTCATTAGCATTCACCTCGGCTTCCGTCGCTTTGGTCTCCTTCTCCTTCTCCTGCTGCTGCTGCAGCTGCTTTGGCTCGCTGGTGGTGTTATTGTTGTTGTTGTTGTTGCTGTTCAGAAGATTCTTGCTGTTGAGCAGACTCACATTGTCCTGTGCCGGCGTCTTCTTCTCGCTCTTGAGCACACCCTGCACCACCTCGTTGACGGCCAGCTCGATCTCCTCGTCCTTCAGCACCGACGAGGACTCCTGCAGCACATCGTCCACGACCATTTTGCAGTCATTCAATGCTGCCTCCGACACCTGCAGCACCTGGGCCACATGCCGCTCCACATCGAGCGCATCCTTGGCCGTCGCCAGCTCCAGCTCCTCCAGGTCCTCCTCTATCTGCAGCGTCTTCTTGAGCGCCGCCTGGCCACCGACAGCTGCCTGCTGTCCGGCCTCCTGCTGCTTCTCCTCCGGCGGACTGGGGCTCAGACTGCCGTTGCACGTGGCCGCCGCCGCCGCTGCCGGAGCGCTTTGCAGCGCCTCATCCGTTTTGATTTGCTCATTGTACACGTCCGAAATGTTGGCAATCACCGACTTGTTGACCGGCTCCTGCTGCTCAGTCGCCTCCACGGGAGTCGCGTCGGCTGGCTGCCCGTTGGCTGCGCAGGCGCAGGAGTCGGCGGGCGTTGCGGCCGCTTCTTCGCTCAGCTGCAGCTCCTGTGCGTCGACATCGGCGCTCTCCAGCTCCAGCTCCTCGGCCTCCTCCTCGACGGGCGGCACATCCTCCAGCGAGGCCACAGACACGGCGCTCTTTATAGCCGGCAGCTGCTGTTGCTGCAACTGTTGCTGCTGCTGCTGCTGCTGCTGCTGTTGCTGTTGCTGAGAGGCAACCGGGCCGTTCTGCTGCTGCTGCAGCTCCTCGCGCTCCCAGCCGCTGATGGTGCTGATGGGTCGGGCTTGACGCAGGGCGGGATCGGTGATGTTGTCGGTGCGCTGTCGCTCGTAGTGCTCGTACATCTGGGCGAACTGCAGCTTGAACTCCTCGTAGGAGACCTTCGAGTGGACGATGGCCAGGGTGTCCACCCAGACGCGCCAGCCGCCGTACTCGTGCTTGATGGCATGGTGCAGCAGCATGCGGAACAGCGAGTAGACCATGTCGCTGATCTTCTGCTCCTCGGTGTTCTTCGGGTGGATGTAGGCCATGGCAATGAGCCACTCCTGCCAGACGGACATCTGGAGTACGGTGCGACGATTCTCCCGATTGCTATTGCACAGCAGCGTCATGTCCTGCAGAAAGAGCTTCTTCACCTCGATCAGGGACTCGGTCTGCTTCGACTGGCGTATCAGCGTGGCGACCACCTTCAGTATCACTGCGCGTCAATTGGAGATTTCGGGTTTGGGGTACGTTAGGTCATTGTCTCTTTACGAGCTGAAATAGAGGCTTAGCCTAGGGAATAACTCACTTGGATTTTCCAGACGGTAATGGCCCTCGGGCTCCGGATGGCGTGTGTACAGTATCTGCTGTGATATGTGCTCGGTCATAATTTCGAAGAGCACATTGTATGTGGGCAGCGACAATGACTCCTCGTACAGCAGCAGACGCTCCGCTAATAACGTGTACAAATTGTGCGGCGACATGACATCGTACTTACGTCTACACCAGCGCGGGTTGAACACAGTTTTCGAAGGGGGGAATAGAGAGCAGACACATGCAAAAATTTATGAGCATGTGCATTACACGGCAGTTTGTCAAAGCGGAGTGGAACGGAATGAGAAGCAGAACGAGAACAAGCACGAGAGCGAGGCACACGTGCCTCTACGCGCCTCTACTTGCCTTTACTCGCCTCTACTCGCCTCTACTTGCCTCTACTTGCCTTTACTCGCCTGAAGGCCCATTACTCAGGGCTAGGCTTCAGCTTCAGCTTCCATTTCCATTCCCATTCCCATTTCCACTACCCGTTAACCACAATTACCCCAGCCATTGTGCTACTTACTTGTGTGTGCTGCGCGAGAGGAAGAAGCCGAGCAGCTTCAGCGCCTGGAGGCGTATCAATTGACTTTCGGCCGCCAACAGCTTGAAGATGCTGCGCACGCCGTGCTTTACATCGAATGCAGGTACCATTGAGCTGGGGTGCTCCGACATCAGCGAGATGAGCATCTGCAGTACATCGTGCAGATTCTCGTCCTGCGTAGGAGCAGAGGAGACAAACAAAAGGTAGTTAGCAACTCGTTGAGGTTCTCTGGCTAGCAGGGGACCTAGCTAGACCCATTCGGTAGTCCCCTCTGCAAAAGACTTCCCCAAAGTCTTGCCATCTGCGACCTAGGTTCACTCACCTCATGCATGGTGGTCAGATAGTTCAGAATGCTTTGCAATTCATCCTCCTTGACGCCATTGCCGATCATAATGAGCTGCTTGAGAAACAGCAGGATGTAGGCGCGTATGGCCAAGATGTCCTTCTGGGCCGGTCGCGGGCCATCTGCAATAGTTGAAAGGGTACGCTCCATCAAAATCCCAATCTCCCCCAATCGTCGCTCCACCGTGAGACTCACCCAAACCCTTTGGTATGATGCCGCTCTTGGCACGCGGATTGACAACCCAATAGTAATACTTGAGTGTATGAACTGTCTGGAGAACGGTGCTGACGCGCCGTACATTGCTGTAGATCTGAGTGTCGCTGAGGAACTCGGTGGCCAGGTACGAGTAGAGGCGTGCCTGTACATTGGCTGGCGTATAGATCCACAGGGCCGGATTGAAGAGCACGTGGTCGAGCAGCTGCCACGTGAGAAACGAGAAACAGAACAACTGCGACAAATTAGTCAAGTAACTTATGCTGTCCTCAGTTACGGTAGACTCAACGGAATTGCAAGAGATTGAAGATGTGGTGTGTGAGTGTGTGTGGGTGTATGAGAGAGAGTGTACAGTTGATAGTAAGTTAGTTGGGTTGATTAAATAGTTGGATTAGTTTAATAAAAAGAGAGATAGATATATAAATAGTGAGTGAGATAGAAAGAGGTAGAGTAGCACAAATGACGATTTTTTTTTTTTGGTTTTTTTGTTTACTTGTATACATACGTTTACATGAGATTCATGTTGATTGTTGTTGTTGTCGATGGATTTGGATAGGGTTGTAATATGTATATTGAAATACATATTTGTTTGTACATAGATATGTTTGGTAGTAGTAGTAGTAGTAGTAGGATTCGATATATAGATACATATATATATTGAATAACGTTTACACATGCAGCAAACAGCAATCAAATTTGTCATAAAACATAAAACGAGAAATTAACAAACAAAGTAAGGAACAGTTAATATTCGGAATGGCATTCAAAAGGAACAAGAACAAGAACTAAACTAAGCTTAGATCTAACTATGCTAGAAAGTATTTATTCAAAGTATTTATGTATTCATGAACTTATGTTTAAGGTACTTTGGCTAGGCTAAAATTTGAAAATATATAAAAAATATTTGACTATAAATGTTTATACGATTAATACTAGGAATACATAAAATTAGATACGATATAAGGTGTATGTCGATGAGCGGAGTTATGGGCTGAGAGCATTGCTCTATTCTCCTGCTGAACTCTGTAAAAACAGAATTTGAGATCCTTCGATTCGCTGCGCTTCAAAGTCACGTAAATTGCGATTCTCATTACTTATATATCTACTCGGCCATTTTCAAATTATTTCAATTAAACATGTGCTGGGGCCAGCCAGCAAATAGTTAAATTATAAATTTCCATACGGCGCCTAATGGAATTTATTTAAATCGCTTCAAATTGAAAAAGTTGCAATTGCAATGAATTGCAATTGTTTTAATATTCGACATCTGCGAGAACTTTTCGGAAACATTGGTCGAAATTTTAATTGTCAAAAGTACACACAGAAACACAAATATATATACATAAATAAATCTATATATACATATATACATATACAGATATATGTACATGGGTGTGTGTGTAGATGCAGGGGATATGTTCACACATGACTTGGCTTATGAGGGCCAGCAGCACTTCAATTCAATTCGTACCACTCTGCATGAAGTGTTCAAACTTTTTGGCGTGGCTCCGCTGCTGCCGTCGCCTCACGTCGCCTCACGTCGCGTCGCTGGCTTCGTTCCCGTTGCCAATGCCAATGGCTGCACAGCAAGCATAACAATGCAACGCCCAGTGTGGCGCCGCTCACGTTGCTCACGCCCGGCGCTGACCCACCCCCAGGAGCAGGCAGCCGGCCACCGAGAGAAGTTTCCCAATTAAAAACTGTGCACGAGTGTGAAATAATAAGGAAGCTGAGCGAGCACGAGGGCGCACCGAGAGCTGGCAAAAGCCCCAAAACAACAGATTCAGCAATATGCAAAAAACATGTTGTGGCAAGAGGTGCGAGAAGTGGAAATGCCCAAAAAAAAGGAAACTTTAGTTGCGCCTGGTGAATTTATGCAGATTTTAACCGAATATATTGTGCATATATATGTACATATATGTACATATGCAAACACACATACATTTATATACATATGTATGTATATTTTTATGGGTTGCGTTGCGCGTTGCACAAATGAGCTCAAGTTGAACAAAGGTGTCAAGTCAACTGCCAATTAAACAAATTATAAAACAACCAAGGTGAGAAAACATGAATGGAACATGAAATTGAATACGAATGCGGCGAACACATAAAACGCATTTGCGAGAGTTAAGACTAATGGGTAAACAATGTGGAATGGAAAACATAGCAACTGCTCTGACAATGAAGGGCTGCAATAACTGTAAGCGAATGTGGAACGATATGGAATGGAACATCGGTAATGAGTCTGTTAACTAGATTATGGTTACAAAGTATTAGAGCTATACGAATGATGTCTTTTAATATATGAAATGGAACGATGTGGAATGAAACACCTATAATGAGTCAGTTAACTATGTGAATCAAATGTATTAAAGGCATGAGACTACCAATCAATGATTCTAAATGATGTTACAATCAAATGGAACGATATGGAATGAAACATTATGAATGAGTAGATCCTACAAAATTATGAAGATCAACTATGTTAGCTGCAAGATTGATATACACCCAACAGTTGAAGTGGAACAATGTGAAATGAAACAGCATGTAAAAAGCAACTATATACTTGGATATACGCCAAATGGCATTTACCTAAAATGTTCGAAGAGCTAGCGACAATAAATATTTACATACATATCTTACAATAAAGTGGAACATTTTGAAATGAAACATCCATTGAGTCAACTGTACAAGGTTTGAAATTGAACAATTTAGTATAAAAGAACGGCGGGAAATATAAACGAAACAAACGCACACATATACACACACATACACGCGCGCATACAGTTACGGAACAAAACGGAATGAAACGGAACGTAACGAAAAGGAACATTTATATAGTGTTTACAATACGATAGTTCAGTAAAAGAAATTTGAGAATTGAGCTTCACCTGGTAGAACTGTTGTAGAGATTTGATATTGGTTTAAAGTTCAGTTGTTGTTGTTATTATTGTTATAGTTGTAGTTGTAGTAGTAGTAGTAGTAGTTGTTGTTGTTGTTTATTTGTGTGTTGATTGATAAGAAGCGTTTCAGATGCAACAATTTTGATCGATTGATTGATTGATTCGGATTGTCGCGAGGAACAGCATTGAAACAATACGAAGCATAAGTAAAATGAGCGAGGTTTATCGATGAGCGGGAAGAGAGAGAGAGAGAGAGAGAGAGAGAGAGAGAGCGGGCGCGGGTTGTGTACGTGAGTCAAAAATTCGTGTGCGGGAGAAAGAAACAGATATATAGATAGATAGAGAGAGATAAAGAGAGAGAGAGAGAGAGTGTGTGTGTGTGATATAAATATAGGAACAGGAACGTATAACAAGTTAGAGTGGGAGAGAAATAGAGAGAGAGAGAGAGAGACATATATATTGTGAGAGAGCAGACAAAGTAGAAGAATTTAGTTATAGTCGTAAATACATTTATTTCAAAAGCTTCGTCAATATCTGTATTATTTTGGTAATTTTGAGCTCTATATAGTTGGGCGAATCAGCTGGGTATAAAGCACATTTAAATTTCGATTAATCTTGGCTGGACTATCGAAAGGCATTAGCTCTTCGATTAACAGGTGCAGACATAACAAACACTCGGTGCACAAGCAGCGCAACAAAAGCGAACAAAATGTTTAATTGCTGGCCAATTGAAAGCAAGAAATAAGCGATTTAGGCGCGTGTACAGTGCTATACAAAAAGCATGCAACAGTGAGACACAAAATGAAGAAGGAAATTAAGTGTATAGTAAAGCTTCGAATAAACCGAAGTCGTAAAATTAGGAAATTGAATTGTAAGTTGTGGCTCCTACAGTCCCCTTCAAATTCATGTACATCTATCCTTAATGATTTATCTTTTCTTCACGCTTTAAGGCTATTCTTAATAATTTATCTAGCCTTTACCATTTCTGTTCTGGGTTCTGGGTCTGCCGTTTCTTATGTGGTTCTAGCACTATTCGTAATATATATTTCAAATTATCTCACTTATCATTTATGATATAGACTATATACATAATTGCTAATTTTTGCTTTCCTTTTAATATTTGGAGTTTAAACTTAAGGCTTATACGAATCATTTAAGTATTTTGTGTATTTTCGTTAGTTTTCCCTCGGATCTAAACAAAAATCCTACTTCCGATTCACCATCATGTGAATTACGAGCTTAGCCAAGAAACGGACTAGCGAAAAGGGAAACACATTCGAGTAGTTTTCAAGGCAGTTCTGGGTTTATGTTGTGCTAGGCAAATAAAGAGGGGAAGCGTTAATAAAAAAGGATAAGCACAAGCTGGATACAAGTTGGATATATAAGTAAGTAAATATACATATACATATACACACACACACATATACACGTACATGTACATATGTAGCTGATATATGGCTGGGGATTAGTGCTGGAAGCGCGGGAGCAGCAGGAGTGTGACCAAAGCAGCTACAAGTAACGAAAAGCGGATAGCGGGTAGCGGGTAGCGGGTAGCGGATAGAGGCTAGAGGGTAGAGGGTTTGGGGTGGCGGATAATGTGTAGCGGGTAACGAAAACAAGAACTTAATGCTGGAAAATTGTGTTGTATTTGATATGCTACGTTTTGTGTTTACTTTTTTGAAAGGATTACGCAGGCCCGTGTTCAACTGTGCGTCGGAGCAGCCGTAACAGCCGTAACAGCAGAAGCAGCAGGCGCCAACATCAACACCAAAATAAAGAACACAAGAGCAACGGAAAGGCAAGACACGCATACACACACACGCAGTGCGATAGGCCAGACAAAGTAAAAGAAATAGAGATAAAGAGAGAGAGAGAGAGAAAGAGAGAGAGAGAGAGAGATAGATAGTGAGATAGAGTGAATGAGAGAGCAGATGAGTTGCGAGTGGGTTTCGCATATCATTTGAAATTTGTTTGTCAAGGTGTTAAACATGCCACGCAGAGTGAACTGAGAAACTCGTTTCATTTCTTCTTCTTCTTCTTCTCCATGAATGCGAAACATGAAAGTGGGACGCTTATATAGCTTTACAATAATAATTGCGAATCTGATCGAGCTGAAAACTTATCGAAACTGATAAAACACAAACAAAAAAACAACTTACAGCGCGAGGCATTTGTCATGCAATCGTCATAGCGCGTCAACTTAAATCAAACTTAAGAACAGACATATATACACATATACATATACATATATATACATATGTATATATACATATACATATAATACATATACGTAAATACTAAAAGATAGAGACATAGCTAAAACGTAAATACAGTATAGTAACAATTTATAAGCATGCTTGCCAAGTCACAGCGGCCCTCAAGGTTCAATCGCATGCTATCGATGAGTATCGGGTATCGATTAATCATTGTTAAATGCTTATCGATGCTAAAGCGCGCATTTCATTTGCCGACAATGCATCGTACACTGACTGTATATGTATGCATCATCGTGTTTTGATTGACTTTCTTTATTAACATAGAGCGGCATATTTGGTATCTAGTAGTAGAGTCGAATTCGTTTTGGGCCTTGCGCCCACTCACCTGCTTGAGCAGCAGATCGCTGTTGGCCGACAGACACGTGACCAGATACTTGGTCAGATTGAGAAACGAGCCCAGTACCTCCAGTGTCAGATGTTCGCGCGACGATCGCTGCAGCATAAAGGATATCACCAGAAAGCCTCGATTCTGTATCATGTGCTGTTGCACGGTCTGCGATGTCTCCACCAGTTCGCAGATGAAGCCCAAAAGCTTTGAGCTGCGAAACGAGAGTGTAAAATGAAATACAAATTGTTGGCATGACGTTTTGGAACGAATGGAAATGGAACAGAAATGAGTGGAATTGAAACAGTAGGCATTACAGAACGTATATTGATAGTTGTATAAAAAACATCACACAGAAAATATAAACTATGCATATATTTTAAGCTAACTAATGGAAATAGAACGCTAAATGGAATGCGGATGAACATTCTTATTGATTTACGGGCAATGGTGTTGAGGAGCATGAAACTTAATTAAGAAATACACAATGCAGAAACAAAGTGGAACGAATGAGAATGAAACACACAATGCAGAAACAAGTGGAACGAATGAGAATGAAACACATTGCATATTGCAATTTAAAGTAATGAGCAATTAAAATCAGATATAATTGAATGGAATGAAGCATAATATAAGAAAGGAGTGAGAATGAAGTAATGGATTAATAAGTGAAACAAATGAGACTAAAGTGAAACATGAGTTACCAAGCTGAATGATAATAAAATATGATTGCAATAAAAACCACTAAATTTACATTGATATGATTTTAAGATCAAGGAACAAGTGAGGTTGGAACATAACCTACCAGAGCGTCGGATCTCGCTTGATATCGCTTATGCCCTCGTGCGCCATGTCCAGCTGAGAGAAGAGCGGAAACAGCACCTGAATGCCGCCAATCGAGTTGAGTGTGCAGTGGATGGAATGCGTGACGACCGCCTTGACGTCCTGTTTGAAAAGAAACCGAAACCAAAACGAAAACGGAAATCAATGATACATTCAAGAGATATTCGTAATGGCTAGAGCTCTGCCACATCATCGACTCCAGACTAGACTCCAGATACCATAGATATTCTGCCAGTGCGGTGTGTTTGCCGTCCGATTTTCCACTGAACTGGCTAATCTTATGGCGATTGCTTGGACGGAAATTGGATTGTCTATTGATAAACCATTTTTCAGCTGGCAATTTGCGTACAGTTCGGGGCATAAATTTGCGCTTCTCTCAATGTTTATCGATTAAATTGGTTTCAGTGCGCCCCAGCACCACTGTGCGCCCTCTGAGGATTCTCCCGCTGCTGTGGGGCGGGAGGCTCGCCATGGGCATGTCTTGGGGTCATTTCGATGGCATTTTCGTCGCGTTGTCGTTGTTGTGGTTGGTCTTTTATGATTTGTGTTGTTTGTACAAGAAATTACTACAAAATTTATTGAATAATTTTGTTGCCAGCTACAGGACTGCAGGGTGGTGTGGTTGTAGCAGTGCCAGCCAGCTGTTAAGCATGATAAGGCTCGAACGGAACGGAACGGAACGGAGCGGAATGGAAACCTACCGAGGGAGGCAGACAAAGATTGTACCTAATAAGAAATGCCAAAGCATGCGCTTGAGTCGTAAAATGCTGCCTGAAATTTATGTGGTGCCTGCTCCCAGTATGTATGAGTGTGTGTGTGTGTGTGTGTGTGTGTGTGTTAGTCTTTGGCCTTGGTATGCAGCAGTGTGTCTTCGGGCTTTCGAATGGAATGAACTAAGGCGAAGTGAACTAGCTACAGCTATGTACATTTACGTATACGAAATAAGTTGGGGGACTTGCTCGTATATTCCTGCCGTTTACACAGGCCCAGCTCAAGGGGATTGTGTGGCATGGCCCGAGCATATATAGAGAGTGTGACTCTCTCTTTCTGTGTGTGAGTGTGTGTTTACTTACCTGCAGCATCAGCGCGTGCGGTGTGTGTACAAAATATGAAACATTTCCTTTGGGGGAAGACTGCAAACAAAGTTGACCATCGGTTGCCACCGGATTGTACATGAAGACAATGGCATTCGATAGTTTGCCATCGTACAGCACCTGCAGTGGGACAGAGATAGACAGACAGAAAGAGAGAGAGAGAGGAGAGTAGATTGTTGGCATTAGTTAGGCACTGCTTTCAACAAGTCATTCGTAGAGCTTGGCTCCTCTGAGGCTCTGAACCCGGCAAATTATTTCCGGTCATGCTGACAATTTACTTTTGCTTTTGGCCTTTGCTTGAAGCGAGGAGCGAACAGCACAAATAGTTCTATGTATAAATATATATATATATATATATATAGTAGGTATATATACAAATAATGTGAAGTACTCTTACATACTATAGCTTACATATAATGTACAAAATATCTATAGACACATACACATACACAGAGCTGTGTATATGTGTGTGCATACAGCAGACGAAACACACACTAAAATATTGCTCTTGTTACACATTGGCCGTGGCTGGTCTGCGTTGGCATTTGGCTCTTACTGTTCTTTTTTTTTCGTATACACTCTTTTCTTATATATATATATATAACGTATTTTTTTTCAAATTTATTTTCGCTGGTTTTTAGTGCAACTTTTTGTTGTTGTTTAGCTGGCGCCGTCATATGAGGCGTATGCGTAATATTCTTGCAGCGGCTGCTGTAGCTGTCTGTGTGTGTGTGTGTGTGTGTGTGTGTGAATGTTTTAAATATACCTATAAGCCAACAGGCACATGTGTGTGTGTGTGTGGGTGTGTGTGTGGGTGGGCGTGTAAGCTGTGCGTGTGAATTCGCTGGCTGCATAATTTGCTGCTAAAAATACTTCTTTGCGTTGACATACAAAAGGAACCAAAAAAATGAGCGAACAAGAGAATGAAAAAGCAAAGAAAACTATAATAAAAAAAAGTACGCAAGAAATGCCATATAAAATATGCTCTACATGTAAATAATTTGTTCTATATATATTGAAAAGTTTTTGCAATTCATGTGGCTCGAATTGAATTGCTTTAATTCAGATGGGCCGAGCAATATATTGGAAACAACAATAACTGTGAATGCAAATCGCAGAAATGCGCGAGGCTGGCCTTGGCTATGGCTATGGCTGTGGTCAGTGCGATGCTTAGGGCCTTGGAACTCTTTTATAAACTGCAGAAATAATGATAATGATATATATCTAAATAAATGATCGTAAAACCTAAAGCAAAAATTAAAACTATTAAGTGCAATTATTAAATAAAAACTTTTTACGTATGACAATAAAGATGCGAGGCCTCTATTTCCTTTCCACTCACTCCATTTACTTTATTTTAGCTGAAGAAGTTTTTGAGCACATTTAAAGTTCGATGGGGAAATTCAGTGTAAAAAGGAATGTGAATTCTTAAAAACATTTAAAGAAGTTTACTTCAATTCATGGAAACTTAAAGCAGTTGCTGCAAGAGCAAGCAATGGAAATATTCTCGGAACTTTTATGCAGAAGAAGATAAATAAAAAATACTATCTATACTTAAATATACTACTATGCTAGGAAAATAATCGCATACTCGGATTTTTAGTATTCTAGAAGAGAAACAAGCATAGCCTAGAAGGTGACCTCAAGACTGCTGTCTTGGCCTATTCATGATGTTGCAAGGCTTACAAATTTTTACTGCAACCTAAGATGTTTCCTTTCTTCCTCCAAAATATGCTATGTTAGCTTTTCTAGCCCTTTTAGCTTTTTAGCTACTCATAAAAATAGGAAAAAGTCAAGATGGGAGTAAAAATTTTGGACTGAAACCGAACTAGTTCCCAGATCGAATTGAGTACTGCCCAAAGAGCCTAGACTAACCTATGCCTAGTACCCAATCGGGCTACGCCCATGAGTCTGGCCCTGATCCTGCCTTCCTCGTGCATCACTCGCGTGTAATTCTTCTTCTTCTCTCGCTGCAACCTTCGCCCCAGCTGTTAACCCATTTCAATTTACAACTTGACCCATTTGGGTAGTTTTTGCCCATTCGCTACTTGTAGTTGGGTCTACGAATGCCCCGGCTGAAACAACGGCAACATGGAATAGCTTTCATGATAAATGCACTTCATGGAGGCATTGCCATAGCCATAATAAATAATAATAATAATAATAATAATGGTAGTGAAAGTGCGAGCCAAGTCAACTGAATGGAATCGGGCAAAGAAATTGCTAGGAAATGCAGCTGGAGCCAAGACGGAGTCAGGCAATGGCTTCCATCGTGCCATAGATGCCGAACAAATGCTGTGAGCTGGCAACGCGGCGCTGAGGCGGGCTGGGGTGGGGTCTTCATATTATAATGGAAAGCAACAACAAAAAGATTAACAAAAAAAAACAAAACGAAATAGGAACAAAAACCAGAGCAAGAAGTACGACTAGAAGAAATGCTTCCACATTTGCCGTTGCAGTTACCGTTGCCGTTCGCATTCCTCGTTCGCTTTGTCTTTGCTCTCGCGGCAGGTGCGCTGCGAAGTATGCAACATTTATTTGAAAGCCCTGCGCCGCGCATTGTTGCCAACGCAACTCCAGCGCCACGGCCCACGGCCCACGGCCCACGGCTGCCACCACACCCGCCACGCCCACCGCGCTCACTATGGGCACCGCCCTTAAAGGCGGCGGCGCACTTTAAAATTCTACACAAAATTACAAACATTTTCATAATTACGATTCGCTTCGGGGCTGAGGCAGGCCTTTTAGGACTTGAGCTGAGATTGGGATTGGGATTGGGGTCTGGGAGGGCTAGGGGGCTGGGGGCTGGGCCTGTTTGCTTGCCACAGTTGAGAATTCAATAGAAGAGCGCAAGCTGCGCTTCAATGAATGGGAACATTTTGATTGGCTTTGAAGTTTAGTTTTTAGTCCAAGAGCTGCCGAGTGTGCGATTTGTGTGTGGGCGGGAGGAGGGGAAGTGGGCAGCGAACGTTTGCAGAGACTGTGAGGGCAACTGGGTGCCGGCATCGGCTTGTATTCAAAACGATTCGATGCGATTTGATTCGATTTGATGCGATTGGCTTGCGGATTTGGCAACGTTCAACGCTGGCGGCGCTGCAAACTTTTTAATTGGCGTAACGCCCAGCGCCCAGCGCAGCTAGGAGCGTGCTGGGTGCCGATGGATGCATGGGTGCGCATGAGTTGGTTTCTAGAGGCACAAGCATTTGGCTAAGCTATCTGCCATCATGTGAAACAGCATTCAATTTAACACGAAAATTACAAAAAAAAAAAAAATAAATAAAAAAAATCCCGAAAAAAAAATTGTGAGTAAATGAAAATAAACAGAAAATGAAAATAAACAAGTATTCAAAAACTCAATGATAGATGAAATTAATTAATTAAAAAAAAAACATATGTACATGTATACAAATATGTGAGATAATTAATATGAATTTTAAAATAAGTAAAAAATGTGAGTAAAAAAAAAAAAAAAAAAAAAAAAAGGAATATATAATAAGCATAATTAACAATAAAAATGTTTTTGCCTTGAATAAAAATATAAGTGATAAAAAAATAAAATAACATATATACGAATGTATAATTAAAAATAAATACGTTTTTTTTTTAAATAAAAAAATAATATGGAAAATAATTAAAGGCTGACAATAATCTAAAATTAAATATATAAATGAATATTATTTATTATTATTATAAAAAATATAAAAAAAATAATAATAATAATTTTGAATAAATAAAAATAATATATAAATGTAAATGTACATAAATTATATTATATTATTAAATAAATACCTATCATTAAATGTAAAAATATGCATTCAAAATTATTTACAAAAAATTGAATAAATAAATAAAATCATTTAAAATAAAATTTAAAAAACAATTAAATAAATATAATAAATAAATTTACAAATATAAATATATTTGCATAGCTGAACTTAAATGAGAAATGCATTTGAAAACGAAATAAGAAAATGATTTGCTGATAATTGAAAGAAAGAGAGAAATAAAATATTTGCTTACAGCTTTGAGCTGGTTGATCTCCTCAGTGTCGCCGGCGATGGCAGCGGCGCCGGCCACGCCCATGGAGCTCAGGCTGGTCAAGCTGGACATGCGACGCAGCTGGTCTGCCCCGCCCCAGGTCGAGGGTGAAACGATAAACGTAAGCAGAAACGTAAGCGGAAACGGAAACGGAAACGAAAATCGACAAAACGATAAAACATAAGAATCGAAAATCGATAGCCAATCGCACACACACAAAAAAATCATAAATACCAAAAGAAGCATTTCCAGTGGGCAAATGGCCAAGCGGATCATCCGCACTGTGATTGTTGCTACTGTTGCTGTTGTTGTTGTTGTTGTTGCTGTTGTTTGATTGTTGTTGCTGCTGCTGCTCGGTGTTGCTACTGCTGCCATCGTTGGGCGTGCCAGGGGCGTTTACCGCTGCAGCTGCTGCGGCGGCAACAGCTGCCGTTGCCGTTGCCGTTGCTGCTGCTGCTGCTGTTGCTGTTGCTGCTGCAGCGCCCGTTAGCGAGGCCAAGGCAACAGCATTGCGTGCGGTAAGCACCGCTCGTATCTTGACAAAGGCCGCACTCAGATCGAGCCGCTCGTCGGACCAATCAATGGCGCTCGCCTCCTGCTCGGCGGCGAGCGTTTGGAATTGCAGCTGCAACAGTTGCTGTTGCTGTTGCTGCAGTTGCTGGGCGCTGTTGTTGTTGTTGCTGCTGCTGCTGTTGCTGCTGCTATTGTTGTTGTTGTTGCTGCCACTGCCGCTCGCTGCTGCAGCATCGCCGCTAACCAGCAGCGCACCACCCAAACTGCTTGTTAGTTGAAAGTGACTCACCCGCTTGTGATTGTCCGGAAGATTCAGATAGCACTCGTTATCGAAGCGGAATTGCGACTGTGTGTGTGTGTGTGTGTGTAGTGGTGTTGGTGTGTGTGTGTGTATGACGGACACAAAATTGGTGCAGCACGAGCACAAGAGAGAAAGAGAGAGAGAGAGAGAGAGAGAGAGAGAGAGAGAGAGAGAGAGCGGGGACAAGTAAAATACAAAGAAAACAAGAAAAAAGAATTGGAAAAAAAATACATGTAATTATTGTTGTCGTAGAATTTTCTCACAATAAAAAGTACAAAGGTGCTGCCGTTGCTGCAGTGCTGTGGTTCATTTGGCGGTGCAGCCACAGTGGTTACGGTGGTGTACAGTGCTACGCATGAGCCCAGCGGCGGCCACTTACCTTATAGCCCGGCCCCAGGCGGTGCATGGCACAGATCTGCTGTGTGGTCAGCGCCTCGCTGAACAGATAAATCGCCGACATTTGGCCGCAGAAGACGCGCTCCTCGTCCAGCTCGGGCGTGGCGCCAATATAACACTTGTCAAAGGGCTACACAGAGTGAGAGCGAGAGAGAGAGAGAGAGAGAGGGAGTGAGTTTCGGTTGCTGTTGTTCACCTTCCTCTCTCCACTACTTACATCGTTTGTGGAAACAAACCAGGCCATTTCAGTTGAAGACGCCAGTTGTCCATTTACGAGGCACTTGATTTCGCTTTTTGTCCAACGATTGTATATGTACACAATGGCAATCATATACCACTAAGAGAGAGAGAGAGAGAGAGAGATAGCATTAGTTGAAGAAAAGTTTTACTTATGAATATGTCACATTTAGTTGTTTTTCTATCTACTCAAACTAACTTGTGGGCCTGAAAAATGCTCGTTGGCTTTATTTAATATCCACCTTTCCTAATGACTGTCTAGACATATATCAATCCATATGCACCAAAGAATAAAATAGTAATGAGACTCAGCACTAAATGTTGGATCATAAATGCAGATATGTGGAGAATTTTCGACTCAATATCGAGATCGAGGATTTATAAAAGTATATATTCATCTTAATCCTGCTCATTTATATATTCACATACAATAGAATTCCGATAATGGCAAGGTTTTGTTTCGATTTACACAGAAATTCAAATTATCGATAATTATTGAGAAGAAATTCCTTTCAAGGGATAGAATTTTGTTTTCGATTAATCGCGATTTTCGATTCAGCGGCGCATGAATTATCTGTATGTGTCTATCGAGTAAAAAAAGAGGTTTACACTCTCTTATATTCATATGCCTAGTACATAGATCAACTCTAACTTTTGATAGGGAAACAGCAGCACACTAAAATCTCATTGTAAGCCGCCCTAAGCTATGCTCCTTCAAGAAGTGAAAGGAGTATATCGGTATGTGTCTATCTATTAATATATATATGTACATATATATGTATCTGTATATGTACCTGGATACATGTATGTCTGTCTATCTATCCATCTATATCTATATCTATCGAGTCCATAGAGCTACATATGCAAATATCAGCTCCAGCTTTGATAGAGTACTTGTAGAGCTCGGCTACAGCATGCTGAGATCTCATACTTAGCCCCCTCTATGCTATGCTCCTTCGAGAAGAGATAAGACACTATGCACTTATAAGTCTCTAGCCGGAATAGCACGCAGAGCTCTCAGGGTGCGATAGATCTAGAGGGATTAATAGATATACATATAGAAATATGTACATATGAATATATTTACAGATATGTGGATGCACATATATGTATATAGATAGATTGAAGCATAGAGAACTTGCATCCGTATACCTAAGTATGTATATCCCTCCATTTATCCATTTGTGTCTATCGCACCCCAAGAGCTTTACACTGCTCTAGCAGACCTCGAGACTTGATATTTCATATGCAAATCTCGACACATACTACGTATCAGGTCCAACTGCAATTAGAGCACAACTTGCTTGGGTCTCACACACACTAAGCCAAAATTAGATTTCAGGTATCTCAAATCCCGGCCATGTTAATTGATCTGCAGGCTGAATCTCTAAATTAATTTTCGCTTAACGCAAGTTTCGCCTGCTGTCGGAGGCGAGGGCAGGTCGTATAGACCGGGCTCTTTATGTGCCGTTGCCAGTTTTGGTAGCTTGTGCAGTTAATTCGGGTCGCAAAACAAATTTCAATTGCTTCGGGCAGGTAATTAGGCCCTGTTGTTGGCCATTCGATGTGCTGTTAATTAAACTTTGGCAGACCCAAAATCACGCCCATAAATTGAAATAGGGCTGCCAGAAGAGATGCTGCTGCTGCTGTGTGTATGTGCGTGTGTGTGTGTGCTATTCGGTAGCTAATGGTCGTAATTCACAGGTGTAACGATTAGCTGCTGAAAATGGAAGACAAACCGGATGAGCAGCGGCACTTACCTTGCGTGGCTGGAATTCATATTTGACACAATGCTGAAAGCCCTTGCCCTTGACCTTCATGGATGTGAGGACCAGACAGTTGCCCACAAAGTGGGCCGTATAGCCAACGCCCTTTGATGTCTTGAAGCTAAGATGAGAGAGAGAGTGACACAGAGAGAGAGAGAGAGAGATGAAGTGAGTTAGAGTTAGATATATAAGCAAGAGTAGGCTGTTTCAGTTACTTACCAATAGAGATAGGGCTTCTCGCGCTCAATGTTCACCGAGTTGATGGGATCCAGTCGAAACCAGGTGGTAAAGGTGAATCCATTCTCGTATGGCCACTTGGCCAGCGGCGGCAGCACCATGGCCTGTGGATGAAGATGAACAAGCAGCAGCTTTAGTCGAATGTGCCACAGCAACAGAAAGAGACAGAGATATGCACACAGAGAGGGAGAGGGAGGTAGGGAGTACGCCTGTTAAATCTCAATTAGCAGTTGGTCAGTTTAAGTGAACCACACAAGTTGCTTGGCAGCCAAAGCTCCTTTCTGTGGCATGCAACACTCGGTTGCAAGTCACAAAAGTCACAAAGTCAAGCGTAAAGCCTCGCAGCACCGAGAGCCAAATGAACCAAATGAACCAAACGAACAGACAGACCCCAGGCCGAAATTGAACATAAATCAAATTTCTGCATATTTCATACCCTGCCAGCTGTACCAGCTGTAGCGGGTGTATTGGCTTCTTCGCTTGCCTCGACTTCACATGCATGAATCGATTTGATTTGAGAATTGCCATTCGGAGGGTATTTCTCAGTTGAAGACAGCTGTGGATGTAGCTCGTCTGAAGCCAACTTTAATTGTTACTTTACACACACACATACTTAAACTTACACGTACATACACTCACACTTACATACCAATAAAGTTAACCGCAAAGGCAAAGCACAAAACCCAGAAAGCAGAAATGAAGTCAAAATTAAAAGGAAATGAGCACATTTTGATTTATCATGAATTTTGTGGCTTTACGGCCGAACAGAAGCACACACACACACACGCACACACACACACATACACACACATTCGCACGCTTAGCTGCGTGTTTAGCTTCATAAATTTATTTGCCCATTTCAAATGCTCGCAATATATGTTCTCTTATCATGTTTATATGACCTCTCACACAGAAAAAAAAAAATAAATAAAAAAAAAAGAGAGAGAGAACGTCAACTCTCCGGTCTGCCCATTCATAACACCTGAACTAACAGCAAATTCGCATCCGTTTGATTATCTTGACATTTTTGCATTTTGTATTTTGGCGAATTTCGGATAATTCGCAAATGCGAATTAAGCCAGCCTAATTGGAAACTGTTGAGGGCGAAAGAGAAGGGGGGAGAGTGAGAGGAGAGATGTGAGTAAGCAGAAACAGGAAGAGATAACACTATGTGTTTGTGCTAATTCCCAGATTCCTACATTGTAGCTCTATAGCTTATCCAGTTTTCGAATCGAGTTCCGATTCCTGTGAGTTTCCGATTCCTGTTCAAACTAGACTGAACATTCTATGATTAACTTACAGCTGCTCCGAAGCGCACTACCTTTCACGTAAAGCCGTAGTGTAGTCAAAACTAAGCAGAACTTCATCATAAGTTCTCCATTTTCATGAGCTTTAATGGAGCATAAGAACCAAGTTCTATTTCTTGGAGCATAAGAACTAAGTTCTATTTCTAAGCAACTTTATACATGGATAATGCAATGTTCTCTGAAAGATAAATCATGCCAGCGAATCTCGGACATGTCCATTCGTAAATTGATAGATCTCGAAATAAATTTACTTTACTTTGTAATACATAGATCCTTAATTTAGTTTCCATTATGAAGAGCTTTGGAAATATTTTTGATTTCATGAATCTGTCTGCTTAATATAGAAGTGAAATCAGTTTAGTAAGAGATCTATTGAGTAAATGAAGGAGCTCATCCACAATAACTATTCCTGCTGCTGTCCTTTACAAATTCATTTGATTCAGGATCTTTGCCTAGAGCCCAATGGATATCCTTGTTTCTCGATGAGAGGAGAAAAAGCAGAGGGCTTTTAATTTTCCCACATTAAAGTTCGTTCAAAAGCTTCAAGCTTATCCACACAAAAATCGAGCCGTATTGAATGTATGAATACTTGTTAAGCGTCCAGCTGCATTTGCATTCATAACACTCATTGTGAGTGAGAATAGGGGAGGAGGAGAGGAGGCGACACAGAGTGTGCTGTGTTCGCTTTATGATATTCATTTAACATTTATACGCTTTTGTATTCGCTTTCGTAGTTCGCATTCATTTGTATGCGCAGACAGACAGAGTTTCGTGTGGCACGGATATTGTCTTGAGGCCTCATTCGATTGTGCAACATGGTGCAACAATGCTGTGTGGCATGTGGCATGCCACATGATTTAACATTGTTGCCTTTTGTCTGCCAACTGTCCCCGACAGCCTCGCTCTCTCTCTCCCTCTCTCTGTCTCTTGCTTTCTCCTGTCATGCTGACCCTCTGGCCCTCTGGCTGGGGGCGACTCATTAGTGCAACGCCGGGACCTGGAGGCACAGCCATCAGCCCACATTAAAGTCTAAAAGTGCGCTAAGCGAAAATTAAAAAAATAAAAATAAAGAGAAAATAGAAAATAGAGGGAAGAGACAGGAGCAGGAGAAGGGGCGAGCAGGAGGCGTCGCACATGTCCATTGAGCTGAGCGTTTTAGTGATTGGGAGTCGGGGTCGCTTGCGGATCTGGGCATCTGGGGGGGGTAACATGTCCTGCCTGTTTATTGAACATTTTGTGACAATTGCTCTGCGAGTCTCTCGTTTTGTTTCATTTCATTTCATTTCATTTCGCATCGTTTCGTATCGCATTTGACTTCCAATTCGCTTTATGGAACTTTTTATGTGCTTATCCTATAGACAGATAGCAATAGAAGTCGCCCACGGTGCGACTGAGTGTGTCTCAGTGTGTGTGTGTGTGTGTGAGTGCCAGGGGTTGGGGTGTGTCAGCTGAGACAGCAGAGTTGGCACATGCCACATGGACAGCTCACATTACGAATTCGATTTAAGTGCGACGCAATAAAATAAAAGCCCACCCACACCCCTGGCTCTATCTAGTCCAGCCTCCTGGCTCTCCTGCTCCACACATCTAAAGAAATGCCACAGAGTGTAGTTGGAGCTGAAGTGCTCCAAGTGCTTGCTAGCCAGTGGAGCCATAGATGAGGCGGCCGGAATGTCTCTGCACTTAAAGCCAGCTTGCAATTCGGCCAAAAGCCAGCAGAAAGTGGGAGTAAAACCAGCTAGGTGGGCATACCTAACTAAAAGATACTCTATAAGCATGGAAAATCAGATATCTCCAGCTCTTAAAAAATTCCGAAATTCTCTAGTAATACGAACTTAGTATCGATATTTATCGATGTAGTAATCGATAACAAACTCAGCTCTAATCAATATATATGCTATGAAACCATTCAAAAGTCGAGCTTAAGGGAGTATAATCACCATATTATTTCTTAATTGGGCTTCTAAAGCGGTAACTCAAAATCGATATTTATCGAACTTGAAGATATGAGAGAGTGTTGCCAAAGAAATGCAGAGTATAATCTATGAACAATACAAACAATTAATACAAATCCAAGATTATATGTATACTACCTAAGTGCTTTTTTTTATCAGGTTTAACTGATAATCGATATTTATCGATCTGAGTAATAAGAAAAGAATATATTGCCAAGTAAATGGACAATGAACAATACTAAAAATGAACACAACTCAAAGATTATATTAATTCCAAGATTAATATTAATACTACTCCAGCATTTTATTTATCAAGTTAAACTGATTATCGATATTTATCGTTTTGATAAAAACATATCTAAACTAGCTAGATTAAAACTTATAATGAAAGAGACAGGCAGGCCAGTATGGCTAGATATGACCTACACAAGATGTATACATCGATACTACTGGACTTTGATCATCCCAAACTTTAGCTCATTGCAATTCCAGTCCGTCAGTCCGTCCGACAAACGGTACTGAGGCAGTATCTGCCTGTTACATATGCCACCTCTAGCCAATATACCCACACATAGCTCGTTCTCAGTGAGCACAGGGTACACGAATAAAACGAGAATCGATTATTGCTTTTGTTTATTATTATTAGATATGGACTTACCGATCCCTTGCGGCCGGGAAAACTGAAGAACACATCGGGTCCGTTGCGGTGCGGCATTTGTCGCAGCACATTCAACAATTTGGCCGAGTGACGCGGCCATTTGCCATTGTTGGCCTTCATTGTGCCAAAGAGCAGCTTCAGCTCCTTGACCGTTATGCTATAGCTGGCCAATACGCCCAGCATCTCGATGAGCAGATCTGCAACATGGAACGGAACAGAGAATGGGTTTAGTTATGGCATTCGGGCATCAACGTGAACGCTGCGTGCTGTGCGTCTCATGTTTAATGGCTATGAAAACTGTTGTCGACAGCTCAGCGTGGGCTGCTGCAACGTGCGCAAATATCAGGTGTATGGGCGCTACACTGCACGAAAACGTGTTGACTTACATAGAGACATATAGACGTATATAGACAAACTTCAAACTCAGTTCAGGCACATTGAAATCGCAAGCAAGTGCAAGAGACTTTGGTAATGCGAAGACGTTCATAATAGAGTCTGGGTTAAATCAGGTAAATAAACTAAAATATGTACTTCTATGTCTCCTATGTCTCTCTCAGATGTATTCAAAAATCTCGAGCTCTACCACTTTCAGCTACACACGACACACAAATGGAAATCTTGTGGAACTGCTGTTGACCTTTTGGATCAACTGATTGGCACATGCTATATCAAATTGCAAAAGGCATAGGCTAAAGTGTACAAGGCTAAGATAGCTATCCAATTCACACTCAAATACTTTCGGCCAGTGTCATTAGAGCGAAGTCTGTTTGTGCACATGAGAACTTTCGGCGAGTGCAGTCAGCAAATAAAATAAACGAGATAGCAGCGAGCTGTGAGCTGCGAGCTGAGCGCGTGCACTGAAGCGGCAAGGACGCTCTTAAAGCGAGGCGGCGGCGGCGGCAGCGGTTGCATTTGGTAGGCGTGGCAAGGCTAGAGAAGAAGACCCTCCACCGTTCATCAAACAGCCGCACATATCAAGGTCAGTGCGTGAAACGAGCTGGAAATTGAATTCGAACTGTCATTGAATGTGGCACAAAACCAGCTAACGATGGAGAGAGAGAGAGAGAGAGAGAGAAGGAGCAGGGCAGATCGAAAAAAAGGTATCGTATCGAGTGATGGTCGCACGTGCTGCCAGTTGGCTTTAAATTGCATCGCAAGCAGCGTTGCCAGACTGGCACGTTTTGTGTGTGTGTGCGTGTGTGTGTGTGTTTGTGTCGCCGCTCACCTTAGCCTTTGGCTGAACGGCCTCGACTCTCGTGCTATTCCCAAACTTCATTTGTAATGCACACTAATTGAAATGGGACGCACGGGCCGTTTTAATGCCTGGTCGGCTGGCTGGGCCATTACCCCAAGGAGCTGTGGCTCTGTCAGCCAACCAGCCAACCAGCCGAACAGCCATTGCGACAGTCAAGTCTCGCCCACGCCCACGCCCCTGCCCCCGCCCCACCTACTCTTTATACAGTTACACGGTTTCCAGTTGCGCCTCCATCAACACGTTTCGGGTAGCGTAAATTAAGAAATTGAGTAACATCCACGTCCCGCCAGCCGCCAGCCACTCCCCCCGCCACCCTACGCCGCCCACAGCTATAGCATCAAGTCCCAGGACAATGTCGGCCCTTCAACCCATGCTCCGCCTACAGCATCAGCATCAGCATTTAATTACACACATCTCTGGCCCACGCTCCAACTCTAGAGTTTCAGCTGCTGCTCCTGCTGCTGCTGCTGCTCCTGCTCTTGCTCCAGCTCCTTCTTCGTCTGCTGCAATAGCTTGAAGCGGAATGACAATGCGACTAGGAATCCTTCAGCTCTTCATCTGTCTATCCGACTGTCAGTCTATCCGTCTGCCTTCTGCTCCTCCCACTCCTGCTTGCCCGCCAAAGTTTAACTGCCTTTTGCATATCTTGGCATCTTCTGCAGCTCATAAAAAGCCAAAGTGCGAGAACTTGACGGCTTTTTATGTCTCCCAGACCTACGCCCGTCCACAGTTGTATCTCCTTCGCTGTATTTATTTTTTCTCTTTGTTCAGTTTTCATCAAGAGCAATAAAAAAGTCAAACTTGCCGTATGAAATTTCCAGATAGTTTTAAGAGCCAAACAGACAGATATAAAGCAAACTTACGACCAACATGTTAACCAAATTTTTATATGCCATCACAGCAGGAAATGTGCCAAGGAACGATATAAGAATACCGAATTAAATAAAATCTGAAGGGGCACACTGAGGAGGAGTCTAGGTCGGTAGGCCTTAAGGCAAGCCATACAACAAAGTAGCTGAAAACGCTTCAAATGCGCGAGATACGATAATGCATCATAATAATCGATAGTCGATGACATGGAAATCGATAGACGATAACCTGGAAATCAGGTTTTTGACTCTTTTGAACTCTGATATATGGGCGCCTAGATCTAAGAGTGCGTTGAATAAACTATTTATACTAATCCAGCTCATATATACAATAGACTATAGAGAATTTCAATATTTCTTCACAATCTAGTCTGTCACTGGGACAAGGTATCTTCTAGTCGAGCATTCCCCATTTTTATCTATCATATATACATATATGGTATATATCGCAATCCAAGCACTCTAAGCATTCATATCGAATTTACTCAGCCTACGTCGACCAATTCAAGGTATCTCTTGGTCGAGCATACCCCATCTAAGCATTCTCCTCTATTTGATAGCTAATGGATGCCTAAATATTTGATAAAATTTAATTTCAATTTATTATCAAATTAGCTATAATTGTAGCTAATGGAACTAAAAGTCTTCTTTCTTTTAGACAGGCAGTGAAAGGAGCTCAAAGTTCCTCAAGTTTTTACCGTTGTTAATTCAAGAAGAAGCAGAGGAGACAGAGCGAGTGGGAGCGAGACAGAGAGAGAGAGAGAGAGTGGCAGGGCGAGAAGTTTTAGCTTATGTAATTTCTTGGCAAGTGTCACGTTTCGACATTTGTCAGGTAACACACACGCACACACCTCCATCACACACACACGCACGCACGCACACACACACACATATGAAATTATGGCTCAAAAGTCAGCGACTGCAAATTGACAGCAGTTACAGTTCGTTAAATGCCAGCAGGAGTGGGGGAGGGAATGAGGCGGGCTTTGGGCTTAGCGCTTAGGGCTTAGGGGTTGGGTAATAGGGGTAGCAGGTGTGGCGGGCGTCTGGTGTCTGGCAAGGCCCGGCCTGACGTGCCATAGGGTTGCCAGACCGCAGATGTGTCATTGACTTAATAAAATCAAAATCAAAGCCAAAGGCACGCACACGCTGCTGGCAGCTTAACAGGGGATGTGTGGGGCGGCCAGGCGGGCGTAGGGTCGTTGCCGAAGGGTCGTATGGAGTGGTGCGGGGGGGGTCTAGTGGATGTAAGTGTCAGTTGGCTGTTCGCTAATGAACAGAAAATTTGCTGCGCTGTTTGTTGTTGTTGTTGTTGTTGTTGATACATTAGAGCAGAGTCAGAGTTTAGATACGAAACATAGACAAGAGAGGGAGAGAGGGAGGTGGAGAGAGGGGGCGCATGTGAGCTGTGGAGCTGGCGAATGCTTAGCATACATGTGGGCGCTGTGGGCATGGCCAAAAAATGGCAGCCACCGCGGGCCAAACGCAGCCAGTGCGGTCCACTGGGCGTATCACGGCCGCTGACAAGCGTGAAATTAATCGAAAAGCAATTCGGCGGCCCACTCGAAAGGGAGCCAAAGCACAGCAAAGCAAAGCACAGCAAAGCAACGCAATGCGATGCGATGCGATGCGGCGCGAAGCTTCGACTTCTTTATTTTTTGGACACATGCCACATGGCAGGAATCACAAAGTAGCCAGAGACAAAGGGAGATAGAGATAAATAAAGAGAGAGAGATAGAGAGAGATAGATAGAGAGAGAGAGAGAGAGATAGAGAGAGGGAACCTGAGCATGTTCTAGTCCAGCTAATGCGTGACCAACACAAAGCTCAACTCAAGCTGACTTAACTTGAATATTTTGAATAGACCGAAAGACAGAAGAGGGGGTACGAGAAAATATATACAGTCGCCTCTCGATAATTTGCATTCCGCTTAATCGAAAATCACGATAAATCGAAAAGAAATTCTATCGCCTTAAAAGAAATGCCTTCTCAATAATTCTCGATAGTTTAAATTGCTGTGCAAATCGAAGAAAGTGATCGATTTATCGGAAATTTACTGTATATATTTGTATATATTTGAGTCTACTGCTCTGTTTATTAATTTTCGAGTTTATTAGTGAATACAATTTTTATTTCAATACAAAGCTTTGCTGTCTTTCAGTTGGGATTGTCAGACTTAACTTTACTCTATTTAAATTTATCTAAGATTTATTGCATTTTAGATTTATGCTTTAGGAGCAATAATCAAAATTCACATGCGGTTTTTTCTTCATATCTATTTTTTGCTCTTTGCTTTCTCTGTTTTTTGTCATCCTCTATCTCAGTCCCACATCTTGCTCTTGGTCTCTCTTATCACTTCCCTTAGATTTCTTCTATATGAAAAGATTTTATCTTGATCTGGATCATTCAAGTTACGTTTGGCAGCCAGCTAGCTTTAGTTCCTAATAAATACATGTTTCATTAAAAAATAATTAAAATGCAAAGGTAAAGCCAAGCCCCTATTAGATCGACTTTTAACCTGAGCTAAAGTGCAAAGTTTCTGTTGAATTTTTAAATTATTTCAGTATAATTTTTCATTAGATGGATGAACAAAAAACTAAACAACCTTTCATGACATTTTTAGCTTTACAACTGGCTACATGGAAAATAATATAAAATTCTAAAAAAAAAATCAGCATAGTATACATTAAATATTCAAATATAATAACTGATCTAGCTCTCAGTCAATTGATGCAAAGTGAAGCAGCATCAAAAATAGCAGACTTCCCAGCACTGAGCTGCATATGCAGAGAAATATTCAAGCGAGTGCCTTAAAATAAGACATCTTCCACTTACTGTTCTGTTGTTTCATATATAAAAGGGAAGGAAAAGTATTTCAAAATGAAACCAATGCAATATCTGAGAGCTTTTCCTGTATGCTTGCAATTTCTTTTCCTTTGGTCATCCCAGCGAATAGTTTTCTGTTCATTTATTTCTCTGATGCTTTACTACTTACATAACTAACGAGCTGTTGTGCGAGTGTGTGTGTATGTGTGTGTGTGTGTGTGTGCGTTTCCGTGCTGTTTCCACTTACCTGCTACAACCGTTTCGGAGCGCTGCAATCGCACCAGAACATGCTCGATGAGTCCCACATCTGTGCAGGCCTGCAGATTGCGAACGCTTTTTCGCAGAATCGCAATGAAAACGCTCCAGATCTCGGCCTAAAATGAGAAAGAGATGGAGAGAGAGTTAGTATGAGTAAAGCGATATTAGTGAGCTGAGCAGTCACAAAGGCAAAAGTTTACAATGCACTGATATATCAAGTACTCGATTCCCCGGCGTGAGTACCCAAGGGAGCCAGAGGCAAAGCAGAGCAGACGAAAAAAAAAAGCGAAAAAAATGTTTTGCCTGAAGCAAATGTTTTACGAAATCAAAGAAATGACTGCGATTGTTGTTGCTGTTGCTGTTGTTGTAGCTGCTTCAATGTCTGCCCAGTTCAATAAGCAGAGTAAAGTGACGCACACACACACACACTTAGACAATCACATATATGTAACGGAGCAACTGGCAGCAGCTCGCGCGCGCTTAGAAGTATGCAACAATTTTTTTTACTCTGCGCTGCAGCGCCTCTTTCTCTCTCTGTGTGTGCGCGTGTGTGTGTGCCTAATGTAAACAGTCATTGAAATAAAGTAAAATAATGGAAAATAATGGCAAAATAATCGCAAGCTCAAAACGAAGCAGCGGCTCATGAGTTGCTCCTGGCAGCAACTGATTCACTGATTCGACTTTCAAATGCCAGAGACAGAGTACACATATATATACATATACATACATACTCGCATACAGTACACTGGGGAGCTGCTGCTAAGCCAGCTAGAGGCTGGTTGGGGGTTGGGGGGCGTGCCAGTCGTTTTTGCCTTGACTGTGAATGTATTATTGCCGCAATATTTGTGCGGCAGCCTCTTTTGGCAGGAAGCAAAAACGTTTTGGCGGTTTTTATGATTATTGCCTTACACACACACACAAACACACACATACACATATTCAGTAGAGATTGCACATTGGATTGGCTATTGCATACACACACACACACACACACGTATAAAATTCATATAATTTTCGTTAGGTTTCTTTTCTTGTATTTTTCTTGCTGTTGTTTATTTTGCTTTTTATTTATATTTCTTTTGTTGTTTCTTCTCCATTTGTTTGTTGTTTCTGCTTTGTTTTATTTTCTGACAAATGCAGACAATGAAAATGTAAACGTTTTGAGTGTTTATAATGAGCCAACCAAATGCTGAACGCCCAGGCACTCGAGCACCTCGAGCACTCGAGCTGAGCTTGCGGTCCACGCTGCGTATGCGTGATATTTAAACAGAAGCAACAAGAACAGTGCTGCAAAGTGCTTTAAGCTGTAATGGAATCCAGCTTGTGATTAACTTAAAGCTGTGAGTAGGAGCAGCAGCAGGAGCAGGAGCTGGAGCTGGAGATGATGATTTGCACTGTGAACTAGTTCCGATATGAACTGAACTGAATTGAGCGGGTTGTTTTATACTGCTTAGTCTTTAGTATATACAGGGCGAAACTAACGTGAGTTAAGCGTGACTGGTTCATATGAGCATTGGCTGTGTGAACTAAGCTAGAGAACTGGAACTAGTCAGTGCAGTATTTCCAATGTGAGTTCGTACTGCAAAACTGAATTGAACATTTCAGTGGCTGGGGGGGCGGAACGAACAAGAGTTAAGAGTAACTGGTTCATATAAACTAGCTGTCATTCACTAAACGAAATAAGCTTGAGAACTGGAACTAATCAGTGCAGAATTTTCAATGTGAGCTCGCTCTACGGAAGATCGACTAGTTCATATGAACTGAGTGTGACTGGTTCATATGAGCTGCATGACATTCACTGAGTGAAATACGCTTGAGAAATGGAACTAGTCACACTATAAATTTACGATATGCCTCTAGGCAATATTATTGTCTTGATTGCAAACTAGTTCAATGAACGGAACTGAACTTTAACGGTTTTCATTCCTGAATAAATTCAACTAGCTCACATAAACTGCTTTCCTTTTAGAGAGTCTTTTCATTCAAAAATCAATTGCAGCTGACTCAAGCATATTGTGAACCAGTTCATTTCAGTCAACTCATTTGTTCTGGCTCATTATCGATTGCTAAGCGATAGTTAAGCGATTGTTCAATCATTAATTCATGGGAATTTCATTAAATTTTCTCGCCTGTTTTGGCTTTGCTTTCGCCTTAATTTCCACATTGGATTTGTGTGAAAATCAGCGTCTTCCCTTTTTCTTCTTCTTCTTCGTCGTCTGTCCCTCTTGATTTTGTTTTTATTCGTGCATTCCATGTTGCTTTTGTTGTTGTTCTTGTTGTTTCTCTTGCCATCGTCACGTTATCTGTTGCTTAGCTCGTTTTACGCATCATTTCGCTCAGCATCCGTTTAGCCAGTTTCTTTTGGCTTATCGTCTATCTCCCTCTCTCTCCCTCTCTCTCCGTCTCTCTCGCTCGCTCCTGTTGTTGTTTTTTAATGTACTGCACGCATAATTTAATTCGTCGATTCATAAATTGCCAACAAAAATTCACTCACTCATAGCCCGTAGGCCACACCCACGCACACAGCTACGCCTACCCACCTGCCCGACATCATTATGCAGCCAAGGACTCGGGCTTTGCCGCTTTACAGCTGTCGCGGCAAAGCGGCTTTTGGACTGTGCGCAAATACGCATTTACATAAGCAAGCGCCTCATGCACATATACATACATATGAAAATACATGTATATATATATGTGTGTGTGTGTGTGTGTCGGAGTAAGTGTGTGTGTAAGTGGACATGCGTTGCTGCGGGTAATTTGATCAGCTCCACGCCACCAAATGCGCCCAAAAAGACCTCTGCAAACTCACACACACACACACAAACACACATATACACACACACCCGCAAATGGGGAATCAGAGCTGTTCTCTGTTAGCCTCCAGGCACTGCTAGCTAGCGCTCAGCCTAATGCGTCTCCCCGTCAATTCGTTCAGCTGCTCGTTTTCGCTGGCCATTTCGTAGCTATATTTATACCCTGTAATTCGCATACGCCTCAGGCTGTTTGGCTGCGCTCCCCATGCACCTTCAACTTTAAGGTTCTACTCATAGAAAACGTCCTTTGTGCAGCTTTAGCTCGCCTCGCCTCGAATTGCTCTCTGAGTCAACTTTGGCTCCGTTTCGACTTTACTTGAATAATTCCCTCAATTGATAGCTCCACTCTCTGTGCATTGACAGGGTATTGCCTAGTCTGGAACACTCTCTGTGGGCATGTTTAATTTTGTATTTTATCTTTGCAAAAATGTTGCTCATAGCGAAATACAAAGTTGATTTGACGCCGTTGCGTTTTGTTGTTGTTGTTGCTTTTTTTTTTACAGCATTATTTCTTAATAAGCGCCAAGCGGCCTCTCCTCGCCCGCTTCCTCTTTCTCTCTCTCTCTCTCTCGCCACACCCACTAAGCTCTATGTTGTACTAAACCCCAGCAGCCAGAGAGCAAAATGAATGGAAAGAAATATCGCTGGGCCGAGCGAAGACAGAAATTAAATATAAAAGCGAAAGAAAACTTCAGTCAGATTTTATTACGTAATTGGGTAGCAATTTCTGCATGAAGCAACAATAACAACAACAACAACAACAACAACTAGAATGCCAAGCAAAAGAAGAAGAAGTAGAATAGCTACAACAACAAGGGCCACTGAGCACAAATTAAATTTTAGCCTTTTTTTTTTGTTGTTTGTTGGCTTTTTTTTTCTTGGCTTTATCTCGTCGCTCTTATGTATGCCACATGCGGGAGGGACATACAATGAGTGAGAGAGTGTGTGTGTGTGTGAAAGAGACAGCTGAGACGCACTGAAGCGGCGACTGTCTATTGTTGTTGTTGTTGTTGTTGTTGTTGCTAAGGTTAAATTGAGCATCGTCCGGCCGAAAGTCAGGCCCAGATTTGACAACGAAAAATTAAAAATTAAATACATTCCTTCGTTCAGGGTTCAGAGTTTAAAGAAAAGAAAAAAGAAGACAACGAAGAAGAAGAAGAGCAACAACTCTTGGAAATATGGCAAAAGTTTAATTGGCACAAGAAAATATTTCTCCTTTCTATCTAGCAGAACTTTTAGCTGTTTACCTTCATCGTCGGCTGCTTCTTTGCCTTTCAGATGGAATCGACTTTGTTCGTGGCGCTCCTCGTGGAGTCATTCGGACTCAATTGTGGAATTGGTCAGAAGAGTTGTGTCTCACTTACTGATACCAACTGATACTACAGAGACATTTTATACTAAATACTAATTGGTATATACATATACATCGTATTTATTGAATACGAGTATAACCTATCGTATACGTAACATACATACACCGCATGTCTATCAGATATTAAGTTCGATATGCATCGTATTTATTGAATACGAGTATACCCTATCGTGTATTTTATATCATGGATCGTATATATAAGATACATATATCGCATGTCTATCATATATTAAGTTCGATATGCATCGTATTATTGTATATTGTCTATCGTGTATCATGGATCGTATGTGTAAGATACTTACATCGCATGTCTATCATATATTAAATGCGACATACATATATCGTATCGACTTTGTAAAAGTGTATCTTATATATAATATATGTATTTACAATATTATATATCGTATATATATCATATAGAGCATTTATTGTATACGAATATTTACATACATATATCGTGTATATTCAATCATCAGATTATATCATGTCATACATATATCGTATGCCTATCATATATTAACTTCGATATGTATCGCATATATGGTAATCATATATATATAAATTTGATATATATCGCATATCTTATATATCGTATCCATTTTATATATCGTATCCATTTTATATATCGTAAATATGACATTCATTGTATGGCTATCATATATAAAATCTGATGCGTATCGTATATGACATATCGTAAATATATTATACTTCCAATATGCATTATGTATTGGTCACAATGTATCTATCGCATATATCGTACATAAGTGTATCGTATATCACATATCGTACATGTATATATTATAATTCCTATATATACTATGTATTGGTCACGTCACAATACATATATAAAATATGTACGACATGTATATATCGTTTTTATATCGCATATATCGTGAATACCACTTAAAACACATATAATATATATATTGCA